CTCGTGGCGGCGCGCACGGGGGGGGAGAGGGGAAGGCTTCTCAGAAGGAGGCGGTTTCTCAGGAGGCGCCAGCCCTACACCTGCAGATGAGGCCCGCGCATTCTCGGGAGCAGGGGTGCTTCTGAGTAGCCTTCCCCCCCCGCCCTACCCCCCTTCTGCGTGGCCGATCCTTCTCGAGCACCGTCGGCTGGCCGTTGACCTCGACGATCCGGTCCTAGGGGAACAAAAAGCGGCATAAGCATGACCTCTCGGAAATCCGCGCGGACTTCTTGGATCCGCGCAGGGCCCCCCCTCCCTGGCGCGCGGAGCGCACCCGGGGCGGCGCTGCAGGCGCCGCCAGGGGGGCCCAGCGCAGATCCAAGACGGCCGCGCGGAGCTCCGAGAGGTTCTGCCTGTGCCGCTTTCCCCTCCTCGGCGTCCCCGATCTCCCAGCCCGCCCCCTGAGCCTCCGGGTGGCTCAGGCCCGCCACCGAGGTCCCGCGCAGCAGCAGGCCCAGCGACCCGTCGGACGCCGGCGGCGTGCACCGGGGGGCGGGGGGGGGATGGGGGCGGTGGCTAACGACAGGGCCTTTTTTTTGCCGGTTCCGTTTTGCCGTTTTTTTTACCGGTTCCGACGCCGTTTTTTGCCCGTGCCGTCGCCGTTTTTTGACCGGTTCTGGCTCCGGTTCCAATCCCGGAGCCGTTTTTTCCCCGTTTCTGGTCGCCTTTTCTTGCCGCTTCGATGTTCAATGGGGCATTTTGCTGGAAACGGTGAAAAAACGGCCCTGTCGTTTCCGGGGCCCACAGAGGGCGGTGGTGGTGGGGGCTTGGGCAAGCACTGGGTGGGGCCGCGGGCACGGCCCCTCGGAGCGACACCTCCCACTCAGGAGCGACGCTGGGGGGTAGCTCACCGCCTGTCGCGGGGGTCGAGTGTCGCAGCGTCACAGCGCCACTCGAGCTGCGAGGCCCCCGGGGGGGGGGGGGAGGCCGCCCTCCCAAGGAGACGGGGGGGTGGGGGGGCGGGGGCCTCCCAAGACGCGCTCGAGCGAGCGAGCGAGCGGGCCTCCGAGGCTGGGCGGGTGAGGCCGCGGCCTCTGTACATTAGCATATATACAGGTACACATAGTCTACACACATAAGCATAACACATACATAGTTTCTAATAGCCATGCGTGTACACACACACACATGAACGAGTTCGGAAACCCTGGGCCCAAAAACGTTTTCATCTATTGGGCGCGCGTTGCTTGCTTCCGCCACCTTCCGCCGGCCTTCTTCCGGCTTCCGCCGGCGGAGGCGGCCTCGTTTTACTTCCGCCGACCTTCCGCCGCCTTCCGCCGCGGAAGAGACGACAACTCCTTCGGTCCTCGAAGGCAAGGCCGTTTTTGCAACACCCTATCTATTTCATGTGTGTAAGATGTGCGTAAGCAAATGTACCGACATTGAAATATACACATACATGCTGTTTTGTACGGTGCCGAGGCTGCCGGGAAGGCTTCTCGGGAGGCGGGGTGGCTTCGCCGACCCTTCGGCGTGTGACAGACGCTATCGTCGCCGTCGCCGTCGACGTAGCCGTCGCCGTCGCGATTGCCGCCGTCGCCGTCGCCGTCGCCGTCGCCGTCGCCGTCGCCGTCGCCGCCGCCGCCGCCGCCGCCGCCGTCGTCGTCGTCGTCGTCGTCGTCGTCGTCGTCGTCGTCGTCGTGGTCGTCGTCGTCGTCGTCGTCGTCAGTCGTCAGTCCCAAGGGAATTGAGGAACAAGGAAAAGGAACGTCGTAGTTAAGTCGGTTCCTTTTGTGTCTTCCCTGCCGGGGTGGGGTGGGGGGGTACGGTGTAAACGTATGTATGTATGTATGCATGCATGTATGTATGTATGTATGTATGTATGCATGTATGTATGTGTGTATGTATGCTGGTATGTATGTATGAATGTATGTATGTACGTACGTGCGTATGTATGTATGTATGTATGTATGTATGCGTGTCTGTTTGTACGTACGTATGTATGTATGCGCGTACGTACGTGTGTATGTATGTATGCATGTATGTGTGTATGTGTATGTATGTATGTATGTGTGTATGTGTGTCTGTTTGTACGTATGTATGTATGTATGTATGTATGTATGTATGTATGTATGC